TTAGAAACAATTCGGGTACATATATACACAAGGATCTGCTTGAATTGATCCTGATTTCTAGGAGCTAATCCTAATTTTAAGGAAAGTCAGTTACAGCTATACACAACAGAATAATATCTCTAGAAACTATAGATCCACAAAAATAGGAAACTAACAATTGCCCTATACGGCTAGTTTGAATTCCTACAGTTTAGTACTAAAATAAAGAGATTTAGGTCTGACAATGCAAAACACTACTTTAATCAGTTCTTGTCTCCTTTTTTCCAAAAAGAAGGAATCATCCATGAGTCATCTTGCGTAAAAACTACACAACAAAACAGGGTTGCCTAAAGAAAAAATGGTCACCTCCTAAACACTACCCGGGCACTCTTGTTTCATCAAAACGTACCAAAACACTATTGGGAGGAAGCCGTTCTTACCGCTGCCTATATCATAAACCGAATTCCTTCTAGGGTTTTGGGGTCAAAAAGTCCAATAGAAGCTCTTTCTAAATTCTATCCTAACATCAATACAACCAACAACCTTACACCTAGAATTATGTCCACAGCAATAATCGGGGAAAATTGGATCCTAGAGCTGTCAAATGTGTCTTTGTAGGATACTCTTCTACACAAAAAGGGTACAAATGCTATCATCCACCCACCAAAAAGCTCTTTGTCTCGACCGATGTCACATTTGCAGAAGAGAACCCATATTTTACTCAACCTTATCTTCAAGGGGAGCCTTCTATTATAGAAGATAAGGATTATTTCCTTCTTGATCTACCATCCTCTTCTTCATCATCCCATCCTCCCACTCCTAAACCTGTGGAATTCGCAGCACCCTCAAAACCTGCCACAGCCTCCCCAGTACCATTTGTGTCTCCTATACAGGATAAGACTCTTGATCATATACGCTTTGGAAAAGGAAAGACGTACTCAAGGAAATGGGGCCCAGCCTTTGAATCTAGACAAGTCCAAATCTCCAACCTGACTCATGAGAATGAGGTAACAATTTCTGAACCTATTTTGCCTTTACTGGTGGAACACCCACCTTCATCTCCTAAGCTTCAAAACACTTAACCAAGAATTGCCTATAGCTATAAGGAAAGGAACCCGCGAATGTACCAAGAGGCCATTATACCCACTATCTCATTTTGTATCCTTTGAGAGGTTTTCACCATCACATAAAAGCTTCTTACGAGTCCAAATGAAATTGTTATTCCAAACACTTTGTTTGAGGCATTATCTAAGGAAGAATGGCGAAAAGCTATGGGAGTGAAAATGGATGCTCTGGAAAAAAAAAAAACCGAACATGGGAGATTGTGGACCTTCCGAGGGGAAAGAAAGCAATGGGGTGCAAATGGGTATTTTCTCTAAAATTCAAGGCAGATGGGTCATTAGAGCACTACAAAGCAAGAAGTTGCCAAATGGTACACTCAAACATATGGGGTGGATTATCAAGAGACTTTCACACCAGTCGCAAAAATGAACATAGTAAGGATCTTATTATCATTGGCAGCCAATTATAAATGGGACCTACAACAGTATGATGTGAAGAACGCATTCCTTCACGGGGACTTGGAAGAGAAAATTTATATGACCATTCCCCCCGAGTTCGGAGGAGTTGAAAAAGATAAAGTATGCAAGTTAAAGAAAGCATTGTACGGTTTAAAACAGTCACCCCGTGCTTGGTTTGGAAGATTCAAAAAGTGATGCTAGCCACCAAATATAAGCAAAGTCAGGGAGACCACACCCTCTTCATCAAACACTCGGATTCAGGGAGAGTCACAGTCCCGATAGTCTATGTGGACGACACTATTGTAACAGGAAACGATGCGAGGGAGAAACAAGCCTTGAAGCAACGCCTGATCAAAGAGTTCGAGATTAAGGAATTGGGAAGGTTGAAATACTTTCTTGGGATTGAGGTGGCACATTCAAGATAGGGCATCTTCATTTCACACCAAAAATATGTCATGAATCTTCTCAGAGAAAGGAATGCTCGCTAGTAAACCAGTCGCAACATCTATAGAGACGAACCATAAACTTGGGCAACTAGTAGATAGAGAAATGTACCAAAGACTAGTTGGGAAACCCATTTATCTTGCACATACTTGGCCGGACATAGCATATTCCGTAAGCATCATCAGCCAATTCATGCATAATCCCAAGGAGGTCCATCTACAAGCAGCCTACCGAGTGCTTCATTACCTAAAGGCTAACCCAAGAAAGGGAATAATGTTCAAGAGGAACTCTGAACTTGTCCTCGAGACTTACACGGATGCAGATTATGCAGGATCTCTCATGGATCGAAGGTTTATCTCCGGATATTGTACATTCCTTGGAGGCAACTTGGTGACATGGAGAAGTAAGAAACAAAATATTGTAGCTCGATCAAGTGCAGAAGCTGAGTTTGGGGCAATGGCACAGGGAGTCTACGAATTGTTATGGCTAAAGATCATATTGGAGGACTTGAAGATTAAATGGGGTGGGCCGATGAGACTCTACTGCGATAATAAATCAGCAATCAGCATTGCACATAATATAGTGCAACACGACCGAACAAAACACGTCGAGGTGGACCGACACTTCATCAAGGATAAGCTAGATAGTGGATTGATCTGCACACCATATGTTCCCACAGGAGATCAACTAGTTGATATCTTCACCAAAGGGCTTAATAGTACTACCTTCCAAGAAATTACAACCAAGCTGGGAATGAGAGACACCTATTCACCAGCTTGAGAGGGCGTGTGGGAAATAACCGCATTATCTTTAACATTATCTTTTAGAAGAAAGCATTATCTCCTAAGCATTATGACCGGCTAGGGCTAGGGATCATGTGATTCTCTATTTCCTAGATTCTAAGTGATCGGCTAACAACAGAATTAGGGATAAGTTCTTTTCTCCAATAAGTTTATCTAACTCGTGTATATATATAGCCCTTTAGTGGCTTGTGTAAATTATTGGAATTAAAAAAATATTTTTTCCTCATTCTTTTCCACAATAATATTCACGGGAATATGAGAAAAGATTCCTATAGGTAACCAAACATGTTAATCCATATTTTCTGGGAATCATATTACCTTCTATCACTTTCCCAGTAATATGATTCCTACCCATTACTGCATACCAAATGCCCCCTTAGAGTTTGGCCATGAGGTGTAGTGGGATTAGGCAACAGATCCGATATTCCTAGCATTTGTCTCTTGTGTAAGGGAACCTAAGTTATGGGAGCTTTTACCTGCTTGACACTTTTTAGGATTTCGACAGTGTTGTTGAAAGTCCTCATTGAGATTGCGCACATTTGTGGAAAGGTTCTCAAAATCTTTGGTAAGTTTAGAGATTGCGGAAATTAATTAAGTCAACAATTTTGTCAAGTTGTTCGGCCAATTGGGATTAGTGGATATCGGTTTTGTTTTGGCGTTCTAAAATGACATCAACTGTTTTATGAAGGTCTCTTTTTTTTTATTATTTTTAGAATGTTTTATGGTCTTTGTTCACGTTGTAAAGGTAATGTGTCAGTGGTTAAGGAAAAGAAACATGCTGAAAAAAACTAAACTTACTTCAAATAATAATAAATTAAATTTAGCTTTAGAGGCACAAAATAGACATTAAAATTCAAATAATAAATTATATAATGATCTTTTGATAGGCAAAGGATAGGACTAACAATAAGGATAATGTAATAGGAAGCTCTTTTCTTTTCAATGTATGATATATAGAACAAATAAAGGAAACGGGAAAGCAAGGCTTTTAGATGCAATACAAGGCTAAATAATCCATCGCACCTAAATCAAAAGCACATAAGTTAAAGCAACATAAATATTTCAGAACTTAAGGCACAAGAAGAACCTCAAGAAGTAGATATGATCAAGACATCTGAACTGCAACTGTTGCAACTTGAAAAGGAGATTGAGAAGCGAAGCCATGGTCAGCGGCAAAGTTACAATTATGGCGTCAATTTTGTAAATGTTGGCCAACTGAAATGAAAGACACCAGTAGCGAGTAACAACTTGCAGCAGAGATGGTAGCGCTTAGACTTCTGGCGGTAGTGACATTTTTTTTTTTGGTTAGCAGTATGTAGACTATATACTAGTTTGTAACTTTTGGTTTTGGTCCTAAGAGGAAATTATGAAAGATTTGAAAATGAAAAATTTAAGTCTAGGATTGGGGGATTTGGAATTTTGTGAAATTTGGGAATTGAGAATTTAGGCCAAAAGGATTTTAAACGAAGCTATGATACCAAAATTGATGCAGAACAAGTTAAGAATTAGAGGGGAGAAGAGAGAGAAAGAAATAGGTAGAGAAAGAATAAGAAATTGAGGAAGAGGAGAGTATGAGAGAACATTTAGGAAGAGAACAAGAATATTAGGAGAAGGTGTATATTTCATAACCAAAATGACATCTTTTTCCATGTTACAAGATGGCCTACTTATAGATAGGCAATTTAGCACAAGTGGCTTAAGTGACAACTAACTTACAAGTTGGTCATACAAGATCCTAGCTAATGATGACTAAGAATGACTTGGCACAAGTGGCCAAGTTGGAATCTAGTAAAGTAAGCTAGCAAATGACAACTAAGCATGAGTTAGCACAAGTTGCCAACAACTAGCACAAAATGACAAAATAGGCTAGCAAATGACAACTAGCATGAGTTGGCACAAGTTGCTAAGTTGTCAACTTTCACAAAACAACAAAATAACAACAACAACAACAAATACAAGCCTTAATCCCAAATTAATTGGGGTTGGCTATATGAATTTCTCGTTTCCAGTCTACTCTATTAAACATGAGACCCTCAAAATAACAAAATAACAAAATAATAAAATACTAAATCCTAATTCTTAATTCTTCCTCCAACGACGTCTAGTGTAGGTTTGTAATTTAGCATTGTGTTCCGCATCAGTATAGAAGCATATAATTATGAAGACTACAACTAAATAAAAAGACCATTCTAATTTTACCTCTGTTACCAGTCTTCTTTGATTCCCACGAAGAGGAAGACCTTCAAAACCATCAAGCCTCCTTTTCTACAACACAGACACAATCACAAAAAAGTAAAGAAAACTTAGAAAGGTTTATTATTACAGAAATCCAAGAGATGATGAAGGTACTGATAAGAATCAAGAAAAGATTATTATTGAAAACAAGAACTAGACTCGATTACAAGATAGATTTGCAGACTTTCGAGAGGTCTGCTAGCTCTCCCAAAAGTTTTTCCAGTTTACTCTAATCAATCCCCTAATCCCCCCAAATGCTAGTACCTCTTTTTATATTACTAATACCTCTCTAACAAACTGTATTAATACCCCTCTAACAAACTGCTGACAGCTAGTAATACTAATAACCCTCTAACAAACTACTGACAGCTATTACTACACTATAACAACTTCTACTATCAAACTAACTACCCAAGACCATCATTAACGAGTCCTATCATTACTCCCCCGGCAAAAACACCTTGTCCTCAAGGTGTAATTGCACTTGAATGATGCCATCTTCTTCCCATTTCAATGCACGTGAACCTTGGAACGTCAAAGGTAGCAGTAATTCCAAGTCTACCCTCTGTAAAATTTCCAATTCCTATCACGCCAATTCCTTTCAACCCCCATTCTGCCACCCCGCTCTTTGTAGATCCAACTCCAATCGGACCGAAATAAGAAGACCCAGTCCAAATGTCACTAGAATTGTCCTTAATCGCGTTGGAAGTGTGCAGCCCAGCTTTAACGGCATCAGAACCAACCCAAATCATGCCAGATTTGAGAAACCCAGCCCTTGGCTCGCCAATATATGCCCTAATCGCACCATAATCACGAAGCCCAGCCCCAATTGCACGGAAATCAGCCTCAATCGCACCAGAATCACGGCACCTAGTCCAAATCCGGCTGGTATTTCGGAACCCAACCCAAATCTTCCTGGAACTCACGCCGCATATCCCTAACCCAGCCCCAGTCACGCTGGAATTCCAAGACCCAATCCTGATTGCTCCGAAATCATCCCTTATGACACTTGGATTCCAAGTCCCAGATCGCGTCAGAATTGCAAATCCCAGCCTTCATGGCGTTAGAACTGGCCCCAAGTACACCGGAATCGTGAATCTCATCGCTGACAGTGCTTGATTCCATCCAAACTCCACGCAAATCTTCTGGGTAAATCATCGTATTGTCGTTTTCCCCTTCTGCTGGTGAACACAGGCACAACTTCAGCTTCTTAAGTTGTTGCCCACTCAGATCTAATCGCAGATTGTCACACAGACTAGTTCGCAGCTCATATGGCGTTGATCATTGGCGGTGTTCATCGGGTTCTGATCGCGTTTCCTCTAGCGTCGCTCGTCAGATTCGGTCTCCCAGATTTGGTCGCGAACCTCCAAAAACCCCAAGATTTGAAACTCTAGGATCTGAAAACCTAGATTTCGACTCCAGATCGCCATTCATCTTGCAATTTGATTAGGAGTGGCAATTCATGTCACGTGTCGTGTTCGTGTCGTGTTTGATCGTTTCTTTCTAAATTTACAGTCAACCCGAACACGACCCGTGACACGAAATTTTTTAAAAACCGCAACACGAACACGACACGACCACTTTACAAGTTGACACGATACGACCCGAAAATGACGCGTGACACGAAATTGACCCGTGAACCCGAAATTGACACGAAAATTATATACTTTTATTTAGTTTTTTACATATTAAAAATAACTTAAAATTCATAACACACTAAATCACAATAACATCCGTTGAAATTAAGCAAATAATAGTATAAGATTTTGAGTATAACTATCATGATATCACAAGTTTATAATAAAATTTAAAATTTTCAATGAAAAATATATGTATTTTTTAGTTTTTTATGAGTTTCGTGTCGTGTTCGGGTTAGACGGGTCCAACCCGAAATTGACCCGTGTTTTTCGTGTCAATTTCAAGTCGACCCAATTTTGACCCGAACCTCTTTTTTCTCAACCCTAACCCGCAAAATTCGTGTCGTTTTCGAGTCGTGACCCATATTGCCGGCCCTAAATCTGATAGCTCTTGACGTCGATCTGCTGTTATGGTCGACGCCACCGCCGATCCAAATCTCACCTCCATCCTCTTTAGAAGTTGCTCCACATTTTGAACCATGGCTTCAACCTTCGCAACAGAACAGTTTCCCTTTGCTGGTTGGAAACATTGAAACAAATGCGTCTTAAAAGCACTCCAACAAACGAATGGCCGCCTTCTATCCTCCCATTGAAACCACTAAAGAGCTTTACCTTCCATGAACTCCCCAATGAACATCACTTTTTCTTGCTGAAAATCGATTTTTCAAGAAATATTCTTCTACTCTTGCTATCCACGCATCCGGATCTTCTCCAGAAAACATTGGCTTCTCTAATTGCTACCAACGTCCATATGTTCCCTCCATCTTCTCTGAATTTCGCCCAAGAAAGTGATCTGATTCCACTTGATAAGAACCAAGAAAAGATTATTATTGAAAACAAGAACTAGACTCAATTACAAAATAGATTTGCAGACTTTCAAGAGGTATGCTAGCTCTCCCAAAAGTTTTCCCAGTTTACTCTAATCAATCCCCTAATCCCTCCAAATGCTAGTACCTCTTTTTATATTACTAATACCTCTCTAACAAACTGTACTAATACCCCTCTAACAAACTGCTGACAACTAGTAATACTAGTACCCCTCTAACAAACTGCTGACACTGCTGACAGCTATTACTACACTATAACAACTTCTACTATCAAACTAACTACCCAAGACCATCATTAACGAGTCCTATCAAGGTACAGACGTTGTCCCACTCTTTCTTCAATTGCTCAAGGGTAGAGTCACTAGAAAAATCTCTATGTTTATTCTTATTACAACTCTTATCCTTTTGTTGTTGTTTGTGCTTTTTATGATCCTTCTCCTCTTCAACCTTACTATTTAGCCTTTTGCACTTCATCTCATTTTCTTTAAACTCGCTCTTTAGCTTCACCCTAGTGGTAGGGGTCCCCTTCTCTGCCTGTTGACACCAACAAAAGTTCAAAATGTAAGATGTACACAATAGGTACTGAAGAGAATCCATCCACTGCATCCAGAATTTCAGGGGTAATATAAATAGATAATTACAGGTGTGGAAAATGTCTTACAAAACACAGGTTAACAGAAGTAGTATCTCTCATATGAAATGCGTCCCCTATAATATCTAAATCAAAAAGATGTACGTGTGTGTTTATTTCTCTCGTATGTGAGGCAGTTTGAAAGAGCTAATCCAACTCCATCCCTTCCCCTTTCCTGATTTTAGTATCTCCAACTACATTATGTAGATAGTGAGTCTCAGATATTGACAAAGGAATGGACTTTTTGCAAATAGATTCATAATGAGGCCAAAGCTTGTATAGGTTTATGAGATCAGCAGCACCACCAAGTTCCCTCGGCCCTGATAATCATTCAAAACTTTAGAAAGTACCTTGATTCCAAGTAAGAAAAAGTTGGTTCAGTTTTCACTCATTTTTGTAACTGAAAGAACGAAGAAAATAACTAAAGCAAGAACAAAAACAGAAACATAACATCTTATTCTTTTGTCTTCTAATTAAGAGCATTTCCAATGCAATGCTATAATTAATGTGCCAATTGTAAATTTAACATTTGAGTACAAAAAACACTCTCCAATGCAATGCTATCTGTTGTGCCAAATTTCTAGTATGCTATACTTTGTGGCAAATTTCCCATCAAGTATAGTATATAGGAAATTTGGCATTTGATTACTATTGGTTGAAATGTTTACTTTTTCCATGTAATCAATGCAACTTTTGCATTTTCTAATTATTTTAAAAATAATAGTTACTTTTACAACTTCCAAAGCTTAATAATTATAGGAAAAAGTAGATTTAGCATTTCAAATAGCATTATGCATTGGAGCAAAAATGAAAATAACATACCATATCATAGTTTTTGATGCTAAATATACAATTGGCATTAGCATTTGCATTGGAGATGGTCTAAGGTTTCATCCCAAGCCTCGCCTACTTTCTAGAGATTAGTATTTCTATCAGTAAGGCTCAACACAATCTTATTTTGCATTCAGGTTACTATAAGAGTTATATTCATAAACTTAAAGTAACTATACACATAGTTGATCATACAATTTAACCATGGACAATATTAAGTGCTAATCATCAGCACTAGATCTGGAAAGACTCATGCATCCTCCTCAACATTTAAGCTGACTATAGACTACAATTAAGAACACATTAGAAGAAATGAATAAATAAAATAAAGTAAAAATTTATCAATGGATACCAAGAAGAAGCATGGATCTTGCATCTTAAAGAAAGGACAAGGGTAGTCATAACTTGGCTCCCTATGTTCCATTTTGGATCCATCATGAATAGAGCAAAACTCCTTTGGACAAGAACACTCTCCAATGGAAAAAATAAAATAAAAATAACAATCCTCATTCCTCATTCCCTCAAATAATGTGGCCAATTCAACATAATTGAGAACTACATTAAGTATTGACATACATCCATGGACACGCATTCACTAGGACCTCAGTAGTAAACAAGCTTCATGCCATTTATCAAAAATAAAAATAAAAATAAAAATAAAAACACAACAACAAGAAGCTCCGTGCCAAAGTAGCACCTATCAGAGATATGTGTCCCTATATATACAACCTGTGCAGCTAGTGAGCACAAGAAGAACAGGTATACGAAGACCACAGTCTACAATGTGTGTAAACAGAAACATATCAAACCAAAAAGAATAGAAGAGGATATATCTTCACACTTAAGCACCGCAAAGTCCCAAAAATTTTACATAAAGAATACCCATCTTGAAAAGGGAAATGTGATATTCTTAAGCACGCAATATTATATGTTTGAGCGAATGCCTTCTCAGGACTCTTCCAGCTAATCATCTCACAGCTAGAAGGGCTAAATCAAGCCCTGATTGTTATACCACTGTGTTTAAACCTCACGAGAATCTTCCAACGTGAAGCTCTAATAAACAGTGAAGCTAAAACCAGAAAAAATACCACAACAATCACACAAAACACGCACACCCAAAAATGCCCCACCCCCTACAGAAAGTAAAATAATAGCGATAATAATAATAATAACAACAATAATAATATAGTAAGCAGAATATAATAAAAGGAAACAAAGGAAAGCATAAGTTTATGGCCCTGAGAATTGAACCTCAAACAAAAGCACAAGTTTGACTTCTACAGTTCAACTTATCATCCAAGGCTATAACATAAGAGTCACGAGGACAAATTTAAAACAAAAGAGATCACAGATTCACATGGCTAAACAGGGATGTATTTTGGCGTGCTGTACCTCAGAAGCAGCAAGCACGCGCGGGATCCAATTGTGTTATATTATCAGTGAACAACCCACCAGTTTGTCATGCGATATAACTACGTATAATTCTTCAAATACGTTCCTTGATATTAACATGTTTATGTTACTTTAACAAGACGTTTGTTTCTACTTCAATTGTTATTTGTTAGATTGGTTTCCTTTAGCGTTAACAAAGAGGTACAATTGTTAAATGACGCAAAATAGAAAAATAAGGAAGTTCCTTTGATGCTAAAACATCTCCTTTCTTTTTATAGTTTAATATTCCTCACTACATCATTAACAAATCCACTTTCTTTAGCCCAGGTGCTCAAGTCTGCTCGACTCAACTCTCACACCATTGAAAATATCATAGAAACAAAAATAAAATAAAATAAAATGAACAGCAAAAGAATTCTCCTAAAATCCAAAATCAATTAGCCACAGATTTGAAAGTCTAGGCACAATTCAAGCATGGCATTATCAACATATAGATTAAGTAGTAAATGGATTATTGTTAGAAAAGGTACAAGCCAAAAAAAAATTAAACTATCCACCAACAATATGCCAAAGGAAAGATTGATTACCCCTTTTTATCTAAAAACCAATCAAATTTTAGAATAAAAATCAGGTATCAAATTGCTTCAAATCTAAAACCCGTCAAAATAAATACAAGAAACAAATCAAACAACCCCTTCCAAACCTTTTGGCTTCAAGATCCGTACGCTTGCTGAGAGTTTATGCTACCCTAACGTCATCTGTCAAAAGTCAAAAAAAAAAATACAAAAAATTTCAGCCTCAAATAAAGCAGAAAACAAAAATACAACTTTTATAAGAAAGCTCAAAAGCAACAAATGATCCTAAAATGCAGTAAACACAGAGAACAATCAACTATGAAAAATTTACAAAACCATATATATTTGTTCGAAGTGAAATTTAGATCGAGAGAGAACGAATTAGTTACCTGAGAATGAAGGAGCTGACTAGAAATAGTGATTAAGAACAATGGAGAAGTCGAAATGCAAAGCAATGCTTCGACTTACACTTCGAGTTGCGGAGGCCGTAGGGAACTTTGGAGGACGGGACCCTGGTTTTTGTTCCGCCCCTGCCCCTGTGCTTGCACACTTTCGGGTTCTTTAAAAATTCGAGGGTTACATGTTTAAGTAACAACATTAATAAAATGGGTTCTTTACTTTTTTACGCCCTGCATTTTGCTTTTATTTCAGAAAGTGCATGATTCTATTTAATAAACAAGTTTATACCTTTTCTTTTTAACACTTGATTTTCACCTTAAAATGCCTCATATATCCTTAAAAAGTGGAAACATAAAAAGATTAAAAAAAAAAATTAGAACTTTCTATGATGTTCTCTCTTTTTTGAAAATACTGGTTTTCTTTACTTATTAGTCGTCAATCTGTATTAAATCTGATTAAAAGTCAAATTAAATTAAAAAAATAATACATATCTGACGATTAATAAGTAGAAAATATTAGTATTCCTAAAAAAGAGAAAACACCAACGAAATTTCTTAAAAAAATTTCTACAAATTTAAGAAAAATTCAAACAAATAGTCTAAATCTAAACTTTTTAAGAAAATCTCTCTCTCAAATATTTCTAGTATTTATTTTATCTTTTTAAGGGTATTTACTATGTTTTAAGGTCAAAATGGAGTGTTGTCGAGAAAATATATGAATTTGTGCATTAAATATAATGTAATGGTTAAGAAAAAATGGAACTTTAAAATGTAATAAATATTTTTTGAATAAAGCAAAATTAGGACATAAAAAGGTAAATAAAGCAAAAATAAAGCAAAATCAGAATATATGAATTTGGTGCTACTCTCTTTGAACGTTTCATTAGAACTTATTAGTGGTACTAAGCAATGGTTAGGGTTAAGTTCTCTTGTATTGCAAAGTCATTTGAGTCAGTATTAGTGTATATACCTCTTTATTTGCAACACATTTACTTTTTAAAGTAAAAAAGCAATTACTTCAAAAAAAAAAAATGATCATGAACTATACATTTTGACTTCATTTATCCTCTCATTAGCCAAAAAAAAAAAAAACCTCAATTTATCCTATGACTCTCTTTCACATAACACTACTCCAATCATTATTGTTCGCTGTTGGCTCATCCATTCGTAATCCCCAAAAAAAAATAGAAATCCCACAAATGATTTTCAGCATGATATTTTTTTTTTTTAACAATAAGAAAAACTTCCAAACCATCACCATTGAGGAACCCATTCGTGGCTAATCTCCTTCTAAAGAGCTCATCCACGACTAGTACCCTTAAGGTCTGTTTGGTAGGAGAGATTGAAGCAAAAAAAAATGATAGACAGGATAGGAGGAAAGGGGAGTGTGAAAGAAGGGAAAGATAGTAAGGAAAGATAGTGGTTATTCCTTTCTTTTATTAGGATTAATTTTGTAACGTGCTTTGTATGTATTACTGTGTTGGAGGTAGTTGCAGAGTTTATTATTTACTGAATAATGAGAAATTCATTTATACAATCATTTAAGAATTTTTGAATTTATTTTAAAAAAAAATGTGTATAAAGATAATAATTGACAACAAAAAAATTAAGTAGGAATACATTTGAAGAAAATTATTTTAACCAAATAAAATAAAATAGGATCACCTGTGAAAAAATTACTCTCATAAAAATAAAGTGATAAACAATATATTTTTAAAAAGCACAAAAAAAATTTAAAATGTAAAAGAATTCACAAAATAATAAAGATAAAAAAAAGAAAAAAAAAATAGAGAGGCTGCCATAGAAAAGAGCTTTGCTATTGTTAGATAAGGGGAAGAAATGATTATGTGTTTAGTAAAATTCCCACATCACCTCTATGTAAAATAAAAATATTTTTTTCTCTTGAAATATTAATGGATTAGTTATAAGTAAAAGCAATTAATTTGATACAATATTATATATCATTTCACTCAGGAGACTATTTAATTGATACACTTCTTATTTAGAGAGAATAATATCAAATTCCATTGATGATAAAAGAAAATTCTAATTTAATCTTTGGTATAACTGAAATTAATACACACGTAAAAAGGTGTTTTAATTCATTTAAAAACTTTAAATAGATTCATATGAAAACCTTATAAAGAAAAACCATGAGCATATGTTCTAATGTGTATGTATATATGTATTAATTAATACGCAGCTCAACACCTTCAAAAACAAAAACAATATATATATATATATATAGAGAGAGAGAGAGAGAGAGAGAGAGAGAGAGAGAGAGAAATGGCTCTTTTTAAGGTTTTTTTTAAATAGAAAAAGTTTTGTAAAATTAATAAAATGGCAATTTTTTTATTAACTAAATATTCAATTAACGATTGACTTACGTTTATTATTAACAATTTTTCATTATTAATTATTATTAATTAATACTTAAATAAATTATTAATAAATATGATAATAAATAGATCAGATTGTCGAAACAAAAGACCACTTTGCTAAAATAAAAATAAAAAAGTTCAGACAATTTATAAAAATAAAAAGTTCTGCGTTTTTTAAAAAAGTAATAAAAAACAGTAATTTACTTAATTTTCTTTATAAAAAAAAGAACTTAGCACGTTAATCGAGGAAGTAAATAAAAGAAAAGTAGTAGAATAGTAATTATATATCCATTTGACTCTTTCCGCTCAAACATGGCCGGATTATAAATTTGTGGGGCCTAGAGATTTGCAGCCCCTACATCTTTCCTCTCCTCTTTGTCAATCCGGCAATCCTTTGTGTTAAAGGTCATAAGTCGTTTAATTCGTTGATTTAAATTTTTAATTCAAGTTAAAATATAATTTTATGTGAAATAATTTTATTATAATAAAAAAATTAAATATTATTGTTTTTAAGAATTTTTTAATATAATAAAATTAAAATTTTAAACTCAAATCGATAAAATGAAAAAGACTTAGGCTGCGTTCGTTTGGGCTATTAAACTTGAGTTAGCCCAATTCAATTTGAGTTTTGAGCATAGTTGAGTGTTCGGTAACCTAAACTCAAAGTCCACACTCGAGTTAGTATCCGGAGTTATGAACATCAGCTACCCCCTCATATTTCAATAACTCGAATCTGACTGCTACAGTTCAGATTCTCCACATACCAGGCTTTTCACATGCGCGTCAGTGTGATTCCTCCTCTGTGGTGTTTACTGCTTGGCTCACGAGAGGCCCCTCCTTCATTTCCAGAGCTCATTAATGCTTGGCTAGGGAAATTTGCTTATCTTCTCTCACCATCTCCCATCTGCTACATTCGGGAATCTCTGAGAAAGGTGAGAATCCCGCAGTCGATGCCAGTTTGACTCGGTGGGTTTGTGCCAATCTGGGTGCCTTCAGATTTTCCCTCTTCGTTCACCCAGAAAACCCTCAAATACCACCCCTTTCCTGATTCTGTAAGAAATAGCAAACCCTAGATCCATTCCTTCGTGTTCCCTGTGTTCTTCAATTTTCAAAACGGAGACAATTAGAAAGAAGACAGTGAAGCGGCATCTTCAATTGGCCTTATATTTGAGTCGATGTAGAGTGGCACATCGTTTTCGAGTGCATAGCTGTAGTCCCCGGTGCCATTGTTTCCGTTGTCGTTGCCGTCGGCGAACTTCTTTAGCAGCTCTGTCGCACTCGCGTTTGGCCGTAATCGAAGCAGAGCATCCGGTCTCATCAACAGGATCAAACATGGTAAACACTCTCCCACTTATTACTATGAATTTTCATATAGGACAAGCAGATAGATTACGAGATAAAACATGGTTTGAAGCTAGTTTAGTCGTGGAATCAACCATTGGGTGTGTTGGAGTGATACAAGGGCCTTCGATATTGGTTGTGTTGAAAAGTACGATAGAAGTGTTTTTTTGACTCTCTGGATTTCTTGCCTCTATGTTGTGCTTTCTACATAAGATTTTTGTGATTTTGATATGGTTATTTCCAACATCTTTCATTAATTGTATTCTCCAACTTTCGGTTGTGGAAATTCTCGGTTATACATGTATGGACTTGTAGTCTCTGTCCTTTATGAGATAAAATTTGTGTGTGTGTCTTTGTCAAAGATAGATATCTCCATGATGATGATTGTGTGTGTCTCTTTGACTTGAGTACGTATGCAAGCTTTTTGCATTTAAAATGAATTGCGTACCACATGTTTCTCTACACATAAGGTTCACGGCCTTATCATGAGATGAGGTGCTAACATATATTTTGTATCTGTTCTTTAGTGTTTGAACTTCAGTTTCTAATGAGCTTCAACTTTCTCGTTTTGTGAACTTGTTGTTTCATGGCAACTTCTAATTTTAACAACTAAATACTCGCTATATAAATTGGCTTACACTTGGCTGCACCTTTTCTCATGATAAGTTTGGTATCATAAGGTTCACGGCCTTATCATGATATGAGGTGTTTTTATATGTTATCATAAGGTTCACGGCCTCATCTACAGGATCAAAAGAAGTTTGGTATTTTCAAACCAAACATATAAAAACATTTGACGGTAAATGATAAGTACATACATACATATGTCTCTTAAGATTTCAATAACTCATTTGGCTGCACCTTTCATATTCATGTTCATTAATTCTATTTTGTTTTAGATATTTTATAATTTAATTTTTAGTGTATGCGTATGTGTTTAGTGTGTTCTATTTGGGTGGCGGTTGTTGTTGTGTATCAAAGAGTGGGTCATTGTCGTGTATACATAGGTCCTAAATATTAGTGGTCATTTTTATTATTTTCTTTGAAAAAGATATGAAGCTTAAGTCTGTTGTCTTCCTAACATCTAATATTGTGTGACTTGAAGACGTAATAGGATGCTTGCATTTTAAGCTTCCACTTAGATCACAGTTATTAGAAGTAAATATAGGAAAAAAAAACTACGGTGGAAAAACAGATTTGTTATGGAAAGATAAATGTTTTCGGAAACTTAAACAACAATGATAAAGAAATACCCACCTGAATTTAGTAGCCTTATCTTACTCTTGTTTTCTCTAGTCTTGGCTCTCTCTCTCCCCTTCTCTTTCTCTCTCTTCCTATGCGGAGATTCTTAGGTTTGGCGCTTATGAAAGTGCTTAAATGCCCCTAATTCTTAGGAAGAACAGTGATTCTGCCACTTCATTCCGCTGCATCACAGTTTCTTGTCCCC